GTTCAGCAGAGAAGAAGGAAGAGAAGTGAGGTCAGAGGGAATCACATTGTAGGTATTTGAATGTAGCAAAGTCAGACTACCTGGAGAAAGGTAGTCACAAGCATGATCATTGTCTGTTTTGAATAATCTTCTATCACATCTTCACTGTAGTCTAGATAAGAAACTGAAAATTTTAGAAGTATGTGATCAGCTGTCCCAGGTGTCTAAGCTCTTGAAACTTTCTCTTGTTTACAGTCCTATATTGTAGTAAGTTTGTCAGGTACCTAGGTGGAATAATGGATTTGTTAATATTGCTCTGTTAGCCAGCATATTCTAAAAGATCTTTAAGTGAGTGCTTACTGCTCATTGCTGCAATTTTTTTCTGAACAATCTTTTTCATCTTATCAGAGAGTAGGTGGGTCTCAGAGAGTAGGTGGGTCTTTTGAGCTGAGATATAGCAAAGATTTCAAGACCATTGTGGGAGGGGTGGGTGTTCAAATTTACATTTTGTTGTGTTGCTTCATCATGGAAAACTTTGTCTTGCAGTGCCACTGTGTGCCTCAGTTGATGGTCATTGCCAGATAAGATCTTTCCTAAAATTTGTTTGAATATTAAAACACTTATTTTTAAACAAAACATATTTAAAGATTATGTTTACACTTATCTGGAAGAAGTTAACGTGTAACTCTCTGCTCAAGTATCAGTTTTTAAATCTGTTTAGCAACACAAAAGTTGTTTTCAAATCTGTAAAGTAACAAAATAAGAATATCAAACTTGCTGCTAAAGTACTTGATCAGCAAGAATTAATTTATATTTAATTTTCATTAGTTGCCATTTTCCTTCTAAATTACTATAGTGCTGACATCATGAAATGCTGACACCAGAGAAAGTATAAGCTTGGTAACTCAGGGCTGTGCTCCAGGCCTGTTTGTTTGCTTCTTTGTAGTAACAAAGTTTATTACTTTATGATTATGAATTTTCTGTCGCTTGCTGAGTTAAACACCTATAGTAAAGATTTAAGAACCTCAGCTGTTTAGTGCAAAAAGTCAGATTTTGGCAATGATTTTGTTAAAATGTAGGGTAACTTAAAATAGAACATCAGTGTTAATTTTCATGCCCTTAAACTCTTTCTTCTGCATTCACCAATTTCTTATGTTACTTATCTATGATTTCTGCCATAACAAATTAGTGATTATTTTCTTTCCTTAATATTTTCTTATAGATGTTTGACTGGATCACACACAACAAAGGTCTGTTTCTGAACAGCTACACAGAGATTGGAACTAGTCACCCCCACGCGATGGAGCTTCAGACGCAGCACAGTCACTTTGCAATGAACTGTATGGTAAGAGCAGGCCTCACTTCACAGCAATGACACGTTGTCTGTTTGCTCTCTGTTGTGGTAGAACTAGTAAATCATACACATCAGTAATTCCTTCTGTTGCAAGTAGTGCAAATTTGTATTTGAGCAGTAAAATTGTACAACACAAAGGAGGAACACAAGGGGTAGCCAAGTACAGAGAGTACTGTGATCAGCTAACAACATTATTTTGACCAATGGAAGTATTCAGCACAGCCTCAGCACTTCTCAGTTATAATCATCCAGACTTCTAAAACCTGGCATGTTTGTTTGAATACTGCTTTGAGTCTTATAGGAAATTTCAGGGAATCCTGTGTGATAGGGAATTTGATGCTCTGTATGGGAAAAACTAACTTTCAGTATCTTCTGAATGGATTGCAACTCAGCAAAAAGTTCTAAGTAGTAGTGATGAACAGCTCAGCCTGCTGTAGTAATTTTCCATATTTTTAAGAAGACACACTTCTCACTTCTGGCACAGTAGATGGAGCCAAAAACAGAATGATTTTGTCAAATATGATCTTCTCATGACCTATCAGTAAGCTGCAATTAAAACTTTTAGTTGTAAGTGGCAGTGAGTGAAAGCTGCTTATTTTCAGTTTCATTGATTCCTGTTTGGACATGGGGACTAAATTCTCAAGTACATTTTAGGTCCTTTTCACTAAGAGGATTGGAGGTGTTTAAGTAACTTTGGGAATCTGGGCCTAAATCCAGTCCCTGTCTGTCAGCTCAATGAAGGAACAACACTACCAGTCTTGTTAGAAATTAACATCCTTGGCAGTCCAAGGATGGGAATTGAATTTAAGTATAGTTGAAACAATCAACTCTTGCAAGAGGGTGTTTTTGTAGGACAGAACTAGTCATTTTGGAAAGAGAAAGTGGCAAAGTAAACTTAGCTAGCTTATGTGACTTGCTAAAATAATGGAAGGACTAGTAAAGCAGTTCTTCTGTATGGTATAGCTAGAGTTAAGCGAATAGAAGATACAAGTACAGAAAGTACATTTTCCTCTTCTGCAACTCAGCTATGTTTGCAAAAGTTAAAAAAATATAAATTAGTATGAAGTTTATGAAAAGAGTAAAGCAAATGCTGGGCAACATTGTAATTAAGTTACGTGACATCATATATGAATGTAACTTTGACCACTAGGTTTGGAAGGTGCAGATTCACTCCATGCGCACAGAAAGTTGCTCCTTTATGGAGTACCTCGTTGTTACTCATTGTTTAGCATATGAAGTAGAGCACAAAAAAACTCTCAGAAGGACAATAGTTGTCATTGATGCAAGATGACTTTTGGAACTCAGTAATTTTGGGTGGCATTCTAGGCAATTCTTGGGCTTGTACTCTAAAGGTTAAATTCTTCTGTCAGCCTGGCCTGGTATTAGTCACTGTTGTCCTCTTTTCTTCAGATTGGATGACCTCCCCACACACACACTTTCATACTGTTCAGAAGCTATCAACAGTAGGAAGCACTTGAGCAGTGTAGCGTAATCCCTCCTGCTGTTTTTGCTGTTAATCTCTGTTTTGACTGTAGTAGTCAAATGCATTTATTACAGAGGACTTTCACTCAGCTTGTACAATGATTTCTTGAAGCATGTAAGGAGCAGCTTAAACTTGGGGCAAATTAAACTGTCTTAAGTATTCAAGAGGGGAAAAACACTGCAGTTTTTCAATATGTTTCTGTAGCATAGCTCCCCCTGAAAAAGTGGTTCTTTGGCACAGAATAGGAAAATACAAATTCAAAATAACCAGTCTTTGGTTTTGATTTAAGCAGTGTTCAGATCTTCTGAGTTTTGTTTGGTTAAGTGTCAAAAGCCTTACATGTAGATTTGGGGGAAAGATTATACCTAATATGACATAAAAAATTATGTGAGCTGATTTAATTTTGACAGGTCTTATTTTTAATTATCTTTTAACTGGAAAAATGTTGAGCAATCTTAACTCCTGCAAGCTTATTCACTTGAGCTCTCTTCATATATAATCTATGCTAAACAAGCTACTGCTTGTTCACTGTTCCTGTCAGTGTGACTCTTCAGAGTCAAATGTTAAACTGTTAAATCAGAGTTGATTTAACATCTCTTGCAAAAATGCTCTAACATTAAAGATGGAATTTGACTGTTAACCCATCAACAACTGTGCACATTTATTCAGTTGGATGGGGTTGAGAAAGGAAGAATGGCAACTATATGTTAGGTTTGTTATATGCAGGAGATTTTGAAGGCTTTTCATTGTAACCCAAATTGGACCTTAATACATCTTACTTTCCAGGCAGTTCCTTAGGCTCACATTAGGTGGGGAAGGGCTGTTCAAAGGGTAAATGCTGCACAAGCAGCTAAATTCAACCTCTTGCACTTGCTCACATCTTAACCCTGGTAATTGATGTTGCAGCTGCTTTTCCCAATGCACTGTGGTTGCCACAGGGCACATGTTCCCTTCACAGCAGGTGCTATCTTCTGACAGTAGCTGGCTCTTCCATCTCCCCTTCTTTCCCAAGTAACAGCTCTGCTTTCTGAGAGGTGCAGGAGGGCAACTTCTCCAGCTGCTTATGCCAAACTTGGGTGAGAGCAAGTGGCAGCCTGTGGGAGAGATGCCAAAATTTTAAACTGGTCTTCTGAAATGAGCCACCTGGATGTAAACTATTGTGAAAGCTACTTAATTCCTGATCTGTTTACATCAAGGATGAAGAGGCTTTGCTCAATATTTCTTTTTTTCCTTGTAATGTCACTTTTAGAGTCTGATTTTCAGTATTGCAGCGCAAAGTAGTTGGAAGTTTAAACCAAATGTTATAAAACAAAAAGATGAAGAATACATTGGGGGAGGAGATTTAACTGTATGTTCAGCAGTTTAATTAGCAAGCAATAAGTTTAGGAATCTCGTATACTCAATGTAGGTAGGCTGATGTGGTTGTACTTCATAGAATCATAGAGTGGTAGGTTGGAAGGGATCTCTTGGATGACCTCGTCCAACCTTTTTAGGTAATACTATAGTTTGTATGAGATGGCTCAGCACCCTGTCAAGCTGAGACTTAAAACTGTCCAATGTGGTGAAATCTACTGCTTCCCCTGTGAGATTATTCCAATGTTTGCCCTCATTGTGAAAAATGTACCTCTTGTGTCCAATTTCAATCTCCGCAGGAGCAACTTGTGCCCGTTAGTCCTTGTCTTTTCCATGTGACTCCTTGTAAAAAGGGTCTCCATCTTCTTGGTAGCCACCCTTTAAGTACTGGAACATTGTAATAATGTCTCCCCAAAGCCTTCTTTTCTTAAGGCTGAACAAACCCAGTTTTCTCAGCCTCTCCTCATATGGCAGGGTCTTCAGTTCTCTGATCATCCTTGTGGCCTTTCTCTGGACCCCCTCCAACCTGTCCACATCCTTTTTGTAGAGCAGGGACCGAAACTGAACACAATACTCCAGGTATGGTCTGAAAAGCACCGAGTAGAGTGGTATGAAGATGACTTTATCTCTGCTGGTGATGTCCTTGTTGATGCAGCCCAGCATCCTGTTGGCTTTCTTTGCTGCTGCAGCACACTGTTCACTCACTTATGTTGAGCCTGTTCTCCACCAAGACCCCCTTGTCCCTTTCCACAGGGCTGCTCTCCAGCCACGTGGATCCCAGTCTGAACTGCATTCCTTGGTTAAGAGTTCCCACGTGCAAGACCTTACTCTTCTCCCTGTCAAACTTCATAAGGTTCCTGCTAGCCAACTCCTCCAGTCTGTCTAGGTCATCCTAGAGGGTGGCTTTCCCTCCTGGAGTGTCAACCTCTCCTCTCGGTGTCATCAGCAAACTTCATCAGAGTGCTCTTGATCCCAATATCCAGGTCATGTACGAAAATGTATCAAAAGCCTTGGAGAAGTCCAGGTAGACTGTGTAGTTGAAGTACTTGAAGGTAACAGGAATAAGTTTGTGAAAGTGTAAAGCTTGATACACAGGCTGGTTCTCATTACAGTGAAACTGTTGGAGAGAGAAGCTGGATAGGTGCAGTGATGCACATTGGACATGTTTGGTTATCAACACTTACCGCAAAGGGTGATGTGGCTAGAAGGGATAAATGAGAATTCATGCGTGCAGCTGTAGATATGTGACCTGCTACTACCAAATTGAAGAGGCTGTCCGCTGATAAATGTCAAGGCTGTGTCTTTATAGGGTAAATAAATGAGGGGGGAAAAAACGATACTCCTCTGTAAAAATTAGGATGGATTTTCAGCACCATTTAACAGGCCTGCTTTTAGCAACAGTAAATCACTGTTGTTAAGTTGTGAGATTTTTGCGAGTTAAGCAATACTTGGTTTCAGCTGGAAGTTCCTCTTTGGGTGACTAAACCAAAGCTTCAGTTCTCAAAATAAGTTTTTAATACCTTTTAAGGGAGAAAATTGCAAATAAGGCATCATAGGAGTTGTAAATACAAAAAAAAAAATATCTGTCAAGTTTTCAGAGAGCAAAAACAAAGTACCCATGATTACGTGATTAGTCAGTCTTGCACGCAAGAATGTAAGAGACTGATTGTAAGTCTGATGCCTGCTGGGACACAAGGGAAACAAAAGTAGTCATGTGAAATATGGATGGAAGTTGTTACCAACTTGAGTATTTTCTGCTACTCTTGTTGCTGGAGCAAATGGCCTTTCTTTCATTACAGCTTAACTGTGCCCCTCACTGCACTGGTGAGGGTCAAAATGATTGGGACGTGATGTCAGCAAAAGGAAACTTTCTTTGAAGAAAGCTGACACTGGCTACTATTAAAGAGGGTGCTATGACTACATCTTGTCTTGGGGCTGATAGGTCCATCAATAGAAGCTGTGCTTATTAACCATAATCCAGAAAGTCCTGTGTCAATTTTAAGCATATCAATAACTTGCTTAATGTTCTCAGAATAGCCTGTTTGCATATACTAAATGACTTTATCAAGATAGTAATAAAATAAGTACTGTAATCAAAAAATGGAGTGCCAGAGATGAGTACTGGTGAGAGCTTCAGGAACTTAAAAGTATTAAA